ACATACAACAAAAATACAAATAACAAAATGAAAGGTAGCAGAAAGAAAAATAAATCTTATTACCATCTGCCCCTTTTTTCCAAAAATAAAAAAAGTAATTCTAACAATTATAATCTTCAAATAACAAAACATAAAAAACTTGAACTCCTTCTGGAACAACAGTTCTTATAAATGCACATTAACAAATCCATATTTCTTCAACAATCGAACTTTTGTCATTCTCTTAAACAAATTTACTGAGCCTGCATTTTATAAATCACTTTCCAGATTATTCCATAGTCTTATTCCTTGTACTGAAGTATATCGGTCCTTCAAATTTGTTCGAATTTTCAGGCTTTACAAACATCTCTAGTCCCTTAAGATTATAATTATATTATAATTAATTATTCTCTCTTAAATTTTTATTGGATATTTAAAAGGTAATAAAATTTTATGAGCCTTAAATAATGATTTGTAAAATCTTTTCCCAAAATTAAATAACTTCAATACAATCGACTATAAATACATAATTTCTTGGAGTGCTTTTTTTGCCTGGCAGTAAGTTTTGTTTTTGTTCTGATGGCTTGGAAGATAAAAAAGGTTGGGGGTTCGATCCCCAGCACCGTTCCAAAGTGTATTAAGCAAGACCCTGTAGCCCCCACTACCCACTGATGAGCATAATCTATTCTASAGAAGAGAAAAAACCCTCAAACTAAGTTTCTTATCCATAATGTTATTTGGAGATTTATAACTTTTAGATTTTAGACGTATTTTTCTCAATGAACAAGACTGAATCAAGAACATATTTTACAGAGGTCATCATGAAACAATAAGCAAACAGTGCTAAAATGTGTAAAGTGAAAAGCAGCTCAACACAACATTACACGTATATCAAATACAAAAAGCAACTGTCARCTCGCTGCTACTTCCATTTAATACTTCCCATTGTTAAAACACTGTCACCTGTATCAGTACTGCCGTGTAGCTCAAAGGTGTTTCATGAACTGAATTTATCGGCCTGCCGATATAAAAGGGTGGTGCAAAATTTTTCATTGACAGGTTTGTCAGAAATAGAAGTAGCTTTCCTCAGAAATAGGATAAAGGGAAAGGTGACTAGTAAAAAGCACGTACAAAACAAACCACCACACCCATCTCAAAGGTTGTGAGTAAGGCTCCTGAAGAATGTGGACAGATCAACCTGGTGCTGTCACAATCTTAAAACAACCCTTGGAGATGTGGCAAAACACTGCAAAATGTTCCTTTTTTAAGAACAATAAAGATAAGAACACCACAAATTCTTCCATATTTTCACAAAACGGAGTGTGCTATGTGAAAACAATCCTATCATGGTGCTAAAAACCACTGTAACGTGCTGTTTCCATGTGACCTACAACTACTAGTACCTAATGTCTACTGACTTCAACAAAATAAAGTGCTGAGGTCGTGCAGCGCAAGTGTTATATTACAACAGCATTTCTGAAACACAGACAAAAAATAAACAAAAGATAACTTTGTACAAAAACAATGATTGAATATGTATCTTTTTTGTCATTTCCACTGATGTCTGATACGGTATCAGATAAATCAAAGCTTGTTTCAAAATAAAAGTTCTTTGTAAGTTTTTTGTTTCTGCAATGACTGGTTCACATGGAAATATTTTTAAATTGTCAGTTGATTTTCAAATCTTGTGACCCAACATTCGACAATAAAATAATAATAAAAAATAAAAAAGTCAAAGAGATATACACTCACCGGCCACTTTATTAGGTACACCTGTCCAACTGCTCGTTAACACTTAATTTCTAATCAGCCAATCACATAGCGGCAACTCAGTGCATTTAGGCATGTAGACATGGTCAAGACAATCTCCTGCAGTTCAAACCGAGCATCAGTATGGGGAAGAAAGGTGATTTGAGTGCCTTTGAACGTGGCATGGTTGTTGGTGCCAGAAGGGCTGGTCTGAGTATTTCAGAAACTGCTGATCTACTGGGATTTTCACGCACAACCATCTCTAGCGTTTACAGAGAATGGTCCGAAAAAGAAAAAACATCCAGTGAGCGGCAGTCCTGTGGGCGGAAATGCCTTGTTGATGCCAGAGGTCAGAGGAGAATGGGCAGACTGGTTCGAGCTGATAGAAAGGCAACAGTGACTCAAATAACCACCCGTTACAACCGAGGTAGGCAGAAGAGCATCTCTGAACACACAGTACGTCGAACTTTGAGGCAGATGGGCTTCAGCAGCAGAAGACCACACCGGGTGCCACTCCTTTCAGCTAAGAACAGGAAACTGAGGCTACAATTTGCACAAGCTCATCGAAATTGGACAAGAGAAGATTGGAAAAACGTTGCCTGGTCTGATGAGTCTCGATTTCTGCTGCGACATTCGGATGGTAGGGTCAGAATTTGGCGTCAACAACATGAAAGCATGGATCCATCCTGCCTTGTATCAACGGTTCAGGCTGGTGGTGGTGGTGTCATGGTGTGGGGAATCTTTTCTTGGCACTCTTTGGGCCCCTTGGTACCAATTGAGCATCGTTGCAACGCCACAGCCTACCTGAGTATTGTTGCTGACCATGTCCATCCCTTTATGACCACAATGTACCCAACATCTGATGGCTACTTTCAGCAGGATAATGTGCCATGTCATAAAGCTGGAATCATCTCAGACTGGTTTCTTGAACATGACAATGAGTTCACTGTACTCAAATGGCCTCCACAGTCACCAGATCTCAATCCAATAGAGCATCTTTGGGATGTGGTGGAACGGGAGATTCGCATCATGGATGTGCAGCCGACAAATCTGCGGCAACTGTGTGATGCCATCATGTCAATATGGACCAAAATCTCTGAGGAATGCTTCCAGCACCTTGTTGAATCTATGCCACGAAGAATTGAGGCAGTTCTGAAGGCAAAAGGGGGTCTAACCCGTTACTAGCGTGGTGTACCTAATAAAGTGGCCAGTGAGTGTACGTCCACAGTTTTAAATCTGAGCAGTCCTGATGTACTTCCGAGCCGACTTGATCATTTTTAAACACACCACACAAGGCAGGAATAACTCCTGAGATCATCTTTAGAGCCATCATGATAATGGGGGCTTCCTTAAGATCGTTGAAAGGAGGAAATCAGGTCAAAAATCAGCGTAATTATCTCGTTGTGTGAACCAGGCTTTACTGTAACTGTAGCAAACTGTTCATTCTTAACAGAGGTATGTATCAATTGGTGATTTTTGGGCACTGCACGTACATCCAGTATAAAACAATTTCCCAGAAGGCCACATTGGTGTCAGTCCAACACATCAGATCTACTGAAAAAGTAGACAAAAGCAGATCTTTAAAAGGAAAAGATAAAGATGAAGAGAAACAGCTGTTGTAAAATCTAATAAATAAATATGACAGATATATGAAGGTTGAGAATGAACAGCTGGTTGACCAATAATCCTTTTTTGTAGTAGGTTTGATTTGTAAATTCCACATCATCTACCTGAGAGATTGGAACAACTTCTCATCGTATACAAGTTGGCACAAGCATATTACCCATCTATGTACCCACACACACACCTGCCTGCACTTTAGCCTCTAGGATTTTTCTAATACTGACGTCCACAGCAGATGAGGCCGTGACAAGAGCTCACAGGGAGGCTGACTCATCAAAGCTCGCCCCAAATCTAGAGGGCATTCAAAGCACAGTCATCACAAGAAAAGAGCGCAGTGTGCATTATAATCTTCTGCTGGTTGTGTGTGTGAGCAAAGGCTGGTTCTCAAAGGGTAGAAATTAAAGGCAGGCAGGGCATGGTCCCTTTTTGTCCAGTCTTAAATTCATCTTGACACGTGTCAACAGGAATAGCACAAATCCTTCGGCATCTCAACAAAGATTTAAAAAAATGAAAAAAGCCCTCCAATCCAACAGATAAATGTATAAAGCATACAAGTATAAATATCTAAACATTTTTGAGACTGTGGAAAATGCTCCCGTGCAATGATTTAATTGCAACCTGTCTGTGGTGCTCCGAGTCTGACCCATGCTGTCTTGACTATTTTGGTGTTTTCGAACCAAACCGTTTAGTGGGATCTCTCAGGGTTATAAATACTGGGAAGCTTCTCTATGTGTTCAATAAACTGCACCAGCTGCTGTTCTTCCAATCTGAGCTACTCTGAGATCTTTAATTTTTGTAGTCCTGCCTGAGCAGCTTCTTTTTTATAGTGCCTTGATCGTTCAAAAATCATGTATTTATTCTGTCGAATATAGAGTTCCTAAAGTCAGCGTTTCATTTTGACTCTTCCTTTTCCAAAACCACATTTGTTTACAGTGTGAAGGCTTCTTTAAACGGGGCGAGTGCTGGGTGAGCGTTAAGCTTGCTCCACTAATCAACATGTGTTATGACTGAACCAATCAGATTTCGTTACGTCACTCATAGGTTCCCTATTGTGCTTTTTTTAGTTCCTACTCTGGAGCAGGAGCCAAAATAGACCCTATAAAAGCAAATGTAAGAACAACAAACAGCCACAGTTCCTGCAGCGTGGAAACAAAAAAGGAGAAACATTTTAAACGCCTATAAGAACTGTGAAATTGTCCATGTGGTCTGAACGTGTTATATTTAAAACAATAAAGCCTATTGTATCTGTAGGCAGGCGTTCTCAGGCGACAGTTGGAGGGAAGGCCACATCATGGACGCTGAAGACAATGTTGCCTTTACAATGAAATGTCAGGGTTACAGACCAAAGATGAAGGAACTAAAGAAAAGCCAGAGAGAATGGACGAGAGGTGGGGAGAATGCATATTAAAGATTTAGCTTATGGAGTGCACAGAGTGGAGGATAGAAAGGAGAAGAAGTGACTTCCATTAAGCTCAGTGCTTCAGAGATGTTCACACAAGGTTGAAATTTGATCAGCGCTCAGGCTCGCACAGACGGAGCCTAAGGAGACAAGCGCAACACAATTCCAAAGCTGATGGCTCACACGAGATGTTGTGTGAGCCTGGAAACCAGCAAGATGAAGCCGTTTTATTAAGTTATTATTTCTACCAGACAGTTTTGACCTTAGATCTTCAGCAATAAATTGCCTGACATTAGATAATCTAGAGCATTTCCTTAACGTTTCTAAATCAAATTGCTTAAAAGTGTCACTGTTGGAAAAGTTTCAGTCAGAAATTGCTGTTTACTGGATGTTCTGGGTTCTATGTTAACATGTCCGTTTGAACTCTGACTTGTTAAAATATTAATAACATAAAAACATAATAATACAAATCCATTTAATCACCTGAAACACTCATATTGCCAGTATCGTCCAACCCTTCCTGATAATGTTGTAGCAATTCTCAAAAGCACTTTTTTGATTTTTAATTAAGCCTTTATGGATGGATGTAAATGTGAAATACAAAAGCAGTTCTTACAGTTAAATGTTCAACTGATTCCATAAATAAAAGTGAATTTAATCAGATTTTATGCATGTAAATGCATAATTTTTGCAGATTTTTGTTCAATTAAACTCTTTGAGAGAAAAATGGCAATATATCGCCTTGCTTACAGTGTTGCAATATATCACGAGATATCATATTGTAACCTCTGTGTCGTGATATGTATCATATCACCAAATTCTTGCACATACACAGCCCTAATACAAACTTGACTTTTTTTCTTAGTTTTAATAAATGGTAGGTGGTTAGGTGGTATCCACATGGCTGGAAGGGTACTAGTCCACGAGATTGGCTGGAAACTACAGGTGTGAATCAGCAGCTTTTTCATGATACAATATTTATTATATCAATTTGTTTGGATGATGATACGATGTTTCTCAATATCACAAAGTCCGTCGTGATGCATTTTTGATTCAATTCAGTTCATAAGTCTGCGATTAATACGATATCTATCCATTGTGGTAAAGACAGATGATGATCCACATCGGGCATATGATGATGATATGGATCAATGTTTTCTCTTTGCCTTCATGTAAGTGAATCAACAATCATTTATCAATCAATGTGGATCGATATATTGTTACACCCACTACTGGAAACATGACCAGAACTGATCCTGTGTCACTGACACAGCAAATCTTTACAAGGACTTCTTGAATGTTCACAGCCTTGCTAAAAACCATGGTTGAATAAAGGGATTTTCATAAATACACACCAACAATCATATTAGTACATACTCTGAGGTGTGTAGATGTGAGAGCTACAATCAACCTGCCACTAAATGATTGCTTGCTCATATGAACTGAAGCCATTGCACAAACCACAGTGGTAATAAAGTAACTGAAGAAGCCACAGATTAGTAGCTGAAAACCCTTCTGACATATGAAGACAATCTGCAGATAATTGTGTCCGGACATTGTCTGGAGCTGCCTGCACCGTTCCCGAAGGCAGAACATTTTATAAAACAATGCGGAAGAAACCAGTGTTCTGTTTTCAGCACAGAAAATTGGCAATGATATACGGTTTTCATGATATATCAGTGTTACATGTTAAATATACACGATATTGCTTAAAATAAAACAGAAAGCAGCAGGAACACAAAGTTCTAATGCTAACATTTTCAGGACAATATACCAGTGAACTGATTGGTTATTTTCTGTCGCCCTTATTCTCACAAGAAAACAGTAAAAATAAAATTGCACTGCCAAACTGGTCTACAAATGGGTACAGCCTTAATATAATACAGCCGGCAAATACTAAAACTAATCTAAGTGTTGCTATCACCACCAAGAGCAAATATCGTCCATAATTTTCAGTCATTTGTGATGCAGGAAGCAGGATTCCCAACAGCTGGGATCTGTTCAGAACGAGAGAATTAAGAGTGTGCAGATAAGCTCCTGCTGGGCATTAAGCACCGAGTAGTCCACACTATGACATATTTGAGGCTCTTGGGTTGGGCTGGACTAACGGTGTCACATGTCCCCATTTAGCCAAGTTGACAACATAAGTAGATTTATCGCCCTTGATTCCTCCTATGCTGGAGCCTTTCACCATCTCATCATGTAGTGGCTTGTCTGTGAAAGACGAGGTGATTTTGGCTACATTATGTTAAAATGTTGTATCTCAACATGTCTTGGAAAAAAAACACTTTTCCTAGGCTATTCCTTAATTTATGATCATCAGTGGATGGTCACACTTTGAAAATGGTTCAATTCTGTAGAAAAATAAACTATATTTTCTCAATAAGCAGTCGAATCTTAAAACGTTAGGTGTTTTTTTTGACTCGGATGGAAAATGAGTTCCAGTAAAAAAAAATATATACCCCCAAATGAACACGTGTACAATAGTAGTAGTCGAGACTTGAAATGTCAATCGTTTTTGATGAGTTGACCATTTCCAGTATTTTTTGTCTGGTCTTTTTTTTTAAAGTCAGAGTTTAATATAAACTGCCAATCTGGCACAAAAAAAAAATCAAATTTCAGATTGTACTGTAGATACTGTTGATACTCTAAATGATTAAACTCTTAGCTTTTTTTTTCTCATTTCAATCATCGGAGGACACAGAGARAACAGTGTGAGCTGCAGTGGTTTCTAGAACCAACAAAAATATGTAAAAATCAATGCATTAATTTATCACCTCTTGGTTTGATTGCTTTGTGGACTGTTAGCTCAGTGCAGCAGTTCTGACACATTAAGACCGCCCAGCAGGAGTACTTCAATAGCTCAATAATTCATTTGCCTATTCTAACTTTTACATTAGAACTCTGGAAAAAATACAAAATGCTCAAAGTTGAAAAAGGCTTTTTGCTTGATAAAAGGCCTGATGGGCTTTATTGCAAGCTAATAATAAAGTTTTGCTGTGGAAGAGAAGGCAAAAGATGTAGATAATGCACCAAAAGCAAAACCCAAATACAGACACAGCCAAAATTTAAAATAACGAGGCAAGAAATTAGAGTTTTAGTTATGTTTTGCATGCACTGATAAAGATTAGTTGACCAGTTGATCATATAGAAAAACAGACCACAGCCCGTCAACAATACAAGTTTAAGTTTGTTTGTTTTTTCCTCTGCAAACTGCAGGCAGGACACAGTCAATCACTGAGGCAGAGGAGCAAATGAGACCATGGAAGCTATCCAAGCAGACACCATAATGGCCTGAATGCTTGTAGAGGCCCATCTATAAATAGTCAAGGACCTAATGCCCCAACTCCTTATCAACAGTACAGAGCTTTTACTTCGATACAAGGAGCCAAGAAGCTGGCACGTGCCACTAAATTAAACCACAGCACAGCCACAARCACTTGTGACAGATGACAGAGAATCACTCACAATTTAAGATCTCTGCAATAAATTACTGACTAGCTGAAACATACAGTCAGATAACAATTTAAATATGACTAATCATACAGTAAATTCGAGATATTTCACTTTTTGTTCTAATTATTATTTATATATATACACATACATACAGTATGTATGTGTGTATATATATATATATATATATATAAAAACTCAAACAATCAAAAGTTAATAGTTTCAGAGTGAAAATTCACACTCCATTTTTCATTCCAAGAACTATTTACTTTTTTATGTGTACTTTATCTTTAAATCATTATCAGATTTTGTCATTTCTTTATTGGTTGACCTTTCCATAGAACACCAAGTTATCCTTTTTTGATAGTTGTGTTATCTGCGWCTCAGAGGGCACATGACTGTGCGTAATTCTAAATAAAACAAGTCAGTGTGTTAACTCTGCAGTGCTGGTCTAGAGGGAAAAATACCCATTTAAATGGAACTAGTTTTTACTGTTATTTGGGACTTGCAGTGTATTGTACATGCTGCAYTGCTCTTACCTGAATTTCCCAACTGTTTGTAAAACCTGTACTCCAAATGGAGCTGTGGTGCTCGGGACTTTATGGGTTCCTGAAAAAGAAAAGAAAGGAAGGAGAACGTTAAATAAATCAGAACCATTGGATAAATTTGTSCATGATGCTTTCGATGTACAATGACATGACAACGTTAATTTTAATAATATGCAAAAGTTGTGTACAGAAATTTAACTTGCAAAAACATGATTAGACATAAAACTATGACCCCAGATCTTTTGGGGGGTGACACAAAATRTAAAGCAATACAAATTTTTAGTCATTTCTTGGGTCAGACTTTRAGAGATGTGGCAGGATAAGAGAGCAGTTCCAGATGGTATACAGCAGGGTACTGTGGCGATGTGGCTAATAATCAACCAATCAGGACTGTTCATTATATTGCTCGCTCAAGCTTCACAACCTAAAATGTAATCTGATTAGCACCACTCTTGTGATGACAATGGCATTACAGACAAACATTGGCAGAAGACGCCCAAATTAATTCCTTTTCTTAATCGTCAGAGACAATACCACAGTCTGCTGAAGCTCTTTTCTACAACAACACTATAGAGAACCAGTTTAAAACAAGGACGTAGAGTTTCCCGTTCGTCTCAGTGATTAAATTACCTCTAATACAGAGGGATGTAACGGTATATTCATCCCAGACCATTCAGTTGGGCATGTACGGTTCTGTATACCTTGTGAGCCCATAAATTATAGTTACACTAAAGTACTTGTGCACCATGAACTTGTAAACAGTTTACACATCAACATGTTGGCAATCATCGTTTTAACTCTTAAATATAAAGTCAGCATTTTTTTTTCTTTTAAAATTATAAAGTTAAAAGGGATGTTATATTTATTCGGCTTAACCAAAATCATACTAGGAAAAAAAGTAAGAAATTGTACATTTTGTGTACTGTTACACCCTTGATGATTTAAACTGAAAGCTGAAAAGGTCATTACGCTCTCACTTTCACTCCATTAGGTCTTTATCAAATAAGGATCATGTTCTTTTCTGGTGCAGTTTTAAACACACAAGAGTGTTAAAATATAAGCCTCTTCGAGAACAGTGAGGGAAGTTTCCATGGTTTTATGATAAGCACCTTTATAACTATAAATTATGTTGTGCAGTTTTAGTTAAACCTTCTCATCAGAGAGTAGTTTGCTGAAGTGGATTAAATGAAGCAGCACTGACCAACCATGCAGGCCAGTTTCATTTGTGCTAAAGAACCACCCACGATGTTCCTGGTTTAATAAAGCATTGAACAAATAGAGCTGTGAATTATGGTGATTCTTAAAATTTGTTTCAGAACTGGCTGTATTCAGTAGCACTGATGGTAGTGACATTCCCACAATGTGAATTACTGGATTGTAGCTACTTGCTAACAATTATTTTTTGTAATATGGGAGTCAAAAGAATAAGTCTAGTGGCTTCAACAATGATCTATCAGGTATTTAATAATGATTTTACACTTTATAAGGACTTCACCATCCTGAGCCAACAAATAATATTACAACAAGCAAAAATCTACCGCGCATGCAACAAAAAAGAAACAGATTGGGAAAAACAGGAGGCAACAGAAGAGTGGAAGCATGTGGGAGGAGACACGTGGTTTGAGAGGTGGAGTAAGGAACTGCTGCAGCGTCATCCACCTCCCACATGAGAACAGGCAACAAAAGCATGTCTCACACAAGTCAGGCCAGAGCAGAGAGGCCAGAAAACACCAACTACATAAATAATGAGTAAAAAAAACAAAAAACAGATGGCACGAAGTGGCTGAACCCTTTAAAAACAGCTTACAATAGGAAACGCAAGCTTATGGCATCTTGACGTACTTAGGAGTCATCTCTAGTCCAAGCAGATGGACTAAGCTTCAGATTTGTAAATATCTGGGGGCCACGGTGCAAAGGTCTGAGGTGGCATCTATGCAAATTAGTTTTTTCAGAGCATCCTGTAGATAGATTGCTATCCCATCACTGGAATGACACGCTATGGAGCTACACTGTAGTAATGACAATGCTGCCTCTAATATTTTAAGTTTATCATTCCTGTAGTCATAACTATCTGCAACCTTTGCTTACGGTTTCTCCATGCGTTTGCCTTGACAGAGTGAAGCTTTGAAAAAAAACAAAAGCAATAGAATTAAGTGGGTTCAATGTCACAGAAGAGAAATTTTTGACATCTCAAAATATGTGATCAGAGCTGGCAAAACGAGTTACAATGAGAATCTTATATTTTTATTATTATTAATTCTTTATTATAGAGTTATTTTCAAATTGGCTTTCTTAAAGCAACAAAATTATTTACATGAGGGTAGCAACAAGCTACAACAACAGCTAATGTATATTTCTGGCAGTTTTATTCATAACAGAATGAAAATTATAAATGTATTTCTCATTTTCCCCCTGCTGCTAACAGTCCAAATGTTAGAGGAGATTTACTAATATTAGCATAGACAGCAAAAAAAAGTCTATCTAGAATCAAATCCGTGAGCTACGCCAGCCTGGGGATCGATGCGAGATGAGCTGTTGCATGCCATTTCAAGGTCCACTTTTAAAGGGTAAAACACTCTTAAGCACATACAAATTTGTTCTTATGTCATGGAGGATTAGATGTTGATTTCTGTGTTTTAACCTAAGGTGGCCTCCAAAGACTTGTGCAGATGGAGCAAACCATAAGCACAGAGTGGACTTCAGGGATTACGCAACTTTGTATATAATAACATGCAAACTAAATCTAATCTTTCCTCCTTTAACTGATCTGTGTCTGGACAGAGAAGTTAAAATTAAAAACAAATGCAGTGCATGTTTATGCCGAAAACAGAAATTTAATCAAATATTCAAAAACAAAAAACTTGCAGTTAAGCCTTAATGTAGTCATTTTACATATATAACTTTGACAAACTGCAACAAGTTAAGTAATAAGTGGGATTTACAGCATTCACTCCCCCTCTGTAAACAAAATGATTAGTATCATTTTATGTTAAGTATTTGCCCTTTGACACCAAGAGCAAGATCATACAGCTGTTGTGATGTAATAAAACATAAACAAATGAGGGTTGTTTATCTTTTGGGAAGTGAATGTGACTTGTGTCAAAGTGTGTATGTGTATGTTTATGTGCCACGTCCAGTGAAACAGACACAGCATTATGCATAAGGCCCAGAATAGCTGCTGACCTTTGCTTGCTCACAGTAAGCTATTTCACAACTGGCACTGTGATTCATTTATTCTTGGACAGATCAAATCAAATTTCAACATATTAAGGGCACATACGYGAGAATAAAACTCATCGGAAATGGCCGGGGTGTTTCTGCGTCTCKCTACTGACCGAGTCTTTAGGACTAGAGGTGTCTTGGCACTTGGTATGAGCACTGTCAGAAAGCAACAGCTGGCTGGTGTGCAGCATATCTCCAGCTTCAGCTCAGATTTAACACGCCCAGATGGAGCCAAACCCCAATGTGATTATCTGGAACTGGGCCATATGGGGCACTATTGTACAATCTGAAGATATTAGTTTTTTWTTTTCAAACAATATACTTTTGTAGCAAGTCTCATGCCAGTGTCAAAGACTAAAATTTGCATCTCATTGGTAGGGTTGGGCATGGAGTTTCAAGTATCGATCAGAACCGAGACAAACGTTTCGATTCTACCTGAATAATTTCGAAGGAAGAAAATATACAATATTATGCTCACTATAAATCTGCCACTGGAATAAAACAATTGCACTTGGTAAGACTTCTTCAATAAAAGGAAAATTTCATGACATAAGATTAATAATTTCACACAGTCTGCTCTTGCTTAGCATATCAGGCTCAAAAATAAAATCAAAAATACTGAAGGGTTAAATATAAGATTGTAAGACTCACTGTGAAAAATTAGAAACGCTCATTAAAAAGTGAAATGTTTATAGAATTACAATTCTTAGAGACATTACGACTGTTTTATCCTGGTTAGCTACCTCATTTAAACCATGTAAATGTTTTGACTCCATCTCTAAAAAGAATCAGAATCAAAAAGAGGGACCAGAATTGTTCAAATTCAAACAATGCCCAACCCTACTCACTGTTGGTGACTAGTTGGTAAAAATATGCGAGAAGTCTTTAAAAAGACTCTCTCTAATTCCAAGTGTACTCCAGTAGAGTAAAATATCCTATGTTAGAACAGCTGGTAAATTGAGCAATGAAACAATGTGTCGTACACATTAAAATACATCATAATTTTCAAAATTTGGCCTCTCAACTTCTCAGTCGTGAACACTCAGAATTCAGTAAGACTGCAACAAGTAATTCACAAAATTTCTTGTAATTTTGAGGTACCAGCTAGTCTTTAACAGTTAGCTAAAAGAGAAATGAACCTACAAAGCTTTAAATATGAAATACCTCTTATTGGCATATAGACAACATTTAGTTCAAAACTTATTTTTCTGGAGTGTGACTGTAGGAGACTTGTGCCACAACTCAATGAATGGAGGGGAAAAAACCTAACTGGGACTATTAGTGATGTATCTTGTTATCCTGCTGCCTACATTTCAAATACCTTCAACAGCAGTAAGATTACAATGTCTCATCAATATCTGACTTTTAGTCAAAAAACATCACTGACAAGGATTTCCTCATTTTCATTTTAAAGCTGAATTACTCAGGAAGTTGACAAAAACCCATATTGATGTAACAGATTAAATGTCAGAGACAACCTCCTTCCACAGAGGCTACAGTCAGATGACAGCAAACACAACCTGTCATCCACACACACACGCACACACACACACACACTTGTGGGAAGTTCCAGTCGAACCACAGAGATAAAGCTAAGTTTTAAAAAAAATGTAACATTTCTGTCAAAGCTGGGAAAATGACACATCACTGCCACTGAACAGTACCCCCCCCCCCCCCCCAATTCGTTCCGTGTGTGTATTCATATTAACATTTTAAGCAAATATGCTCTTTTCTGGAAAAAAAAACACCTAAAATAAAAAAGGTCTAAGGTACTTTTATCGCATAAATCTAAAGGATTTGGCTATATCAGTTTTACTCACAGTGTTGCCATTTTTAGAAATATCAACTAGTTAATAATTCGTAAACAATGGAATCCTGAACATTTGCAAACTAATTAAATTATACCTGTCATTCTCCAATATGTAAAATATAGAAACGACGTTTACTAAAATAGAGCCATAAGGAATTACGCACCTGTAACACACATGCAAATAAAAACAATGAATTCCACTAGAGTCATGGGCATTTCCCAATGTGGATATTTTGATAGAGCGATAATAATAGAAAAAGGGCTAATAATAGCTTTTCAAAAAAAGTGTTTTCTCTCTCTTTCCTGCTTTATCCAAGTGAAAAAGGATGGAAAACGGTGCTATGAAATAAAGTGAGTAGCAGCTGTATGACTTCTTGTAATGTAAAAGATTTGACATGAAAAAGATTTGTGTTCAAACTTGACAAGGTACTCGATCAAAAAAGCAATCTAAACCCATTTCTTTGACCTACATATCCTGGTGAGTTAAGTAATGGAGCAACGACTCTAAATATCTTATATGGCAGTTGCGTATCGACCACAAAACTTATGCCTCTCTTTTGTACAGTTGGCTAAAAATAGCTCCGAGACAAATTTGGCTCCAGTCCTTTTTGACAATCATATGACTCTGGCCAAGTTATTTTTGGTTCTAGTTCACCATTTTAATTACAATGCTGCAAAGAACTGAACTGTAAAGTTTAAACTCATCATCTTTACTACAACAAACAAAAAAAAAAAGAGACTGGTCGTCTTTTGTAACGGGCAATTCAAAACAGGGACTATAAAACTGTTGTGTGACTTGAGTTAAAAATAATGATAATACAAGCCTACATGACTAAGCTTAGCTTTGCAGTTACATCAAGTACAATTACACACCAAAAACTGCCCCACAGGCACACACCCTGTTCATTTTCCAACCCATTTATTTTGTGCAGTCACACTTTGCACTGCAGTAATTCACAGTAAACATCTTCAATTTTCTTGAGGCATTTGTCAAGTCATCATCATTCAGKCCCCTGAAAACATTGTAGATTTTTTTCTGTTTTAATTGTAAAACATTACATGTTCACACATCCCGATGAAAGTTTAGATAAGACCAAAAAAAGATGTTAAACCTGCTGTAGTTTGCAGGCCAGGTCACTAGTTGGTGCTGTGATTTTTGYGTGTCAACAACATGCGCAAAAGCTAAACACAACAAACCTTTGTTAGTGTTGTTTTTGCTAAACCTTACTTTAAATTATAACCCTTAATTGACTTGGGAAAATATAGACTATTAACTGACTGCACCCGTAGTGAGGATGTGTGAACACTTGCGCTTTCAGGTAAATTTCATTTTCAGGTAAAATGATCTCAGGAAACTTCCTCTCAGACCTGGATTTAAAAAGTTTTGGTGTGACAAAACCCAACTGCTGCCATTGTGTGGACGGTGAAAAAGCAATAGAACCGTTTCAATTTCACTTTAAAACATGTAAATTGGGCCTTACGGTTCTGTGTACGTTTAAAACACTTGTTTTGTGCTAAAGAACAAAAACACTTCTGGCTACTGATTAATTAGGAGATTAGCTAGTTGACTGAAGCTAGGCTTTTACATGCCGTTGACATCTCAGGATTTATTCATCCGGTCTGCCCAGCATGCACTCCAAGAAAGCCCAAGCTGGGGAGGAAAGAACTTAAATCGTCAAAATGTCACTTTAATTCCAGCCAAACATGCTGATAAGGCTTTTGTGCCTTCACAGTTTTCCGACAACTGCCTCGTGGCAAGCTTGTGTAAGCTGCTGAGCTAGACTGCAACAAGAGCTGCTTATCATCCTTCAGTGGGAGGCAGACAGGAAGGTTGGATACAACACCACAGATTTCCATCCGAGCATCACGACTGACCAGCATTGTGACTGACTTTGCTCACATAAACCATTTAAAATGCCTCTGCATAAATGACTCAGTCGATGAATAAAATAAAATGCTGAAAAGGAGAATTAACCTTTATACACAGAACAATTTAAATTTTAAATTGTTTACTGTAAACCATGGGGGGGGGGAGATTGGAGTTGTTTGTTTCTCTTCCTATATCTGGTCAATGCTGTTTGTAGAATTGAGYAAGAGCCGTTCTCAACAAAAACATACATTCCAGTCTGTACATACAGGCTAGTTTTTAAGTGTGAAACTTACTGAGATGTTGCAATATTCGAATGTACCAATCAGACAACCCTTTTTTTGGCAAACTGCTAGAACTAAGTGTAATTAGCTTCGACTGATGAAGCCTGCATTTCTTGCTTCAAACAGGGCAACTGAGGTCAAAGCCTTAAAATAAAGGAGTCTAGACAACCACTTCCTCATTAGGTAATTTTGATTTTGAAATATATTTATCCTTGAGTAAGTACTCTCAACAGTATAACGCACTGCTCTGTGTGTACATGGCTGGCACACAGTAGGTCTTATTGTTTACCGTGTTCATCTTCCTACACGCTCACGCCAATAATCAGCCTCTGACAGAGCTACAGAAACACACTGTGCAGTACAATAAGTGTCAACACTACAGCATTCACTTATTACAAGGTTTAGCAGATATTGCAGCCTCCTGTCATAGTCGCAGGCTGTCATCACCACAAAGAGGAGTCTTCAGCTAATTATCACTCAGAACGGATGATATCAGAACCGAAGGTGCCATGTCTCACAATACACAGCCAATTACACGAGATGGGGCAGAAATAAAATCGAAGATGTGGGGTTTGTAACTTGGAACCGTTTGAAGAATTAGTGGAAATAACAAAAAAAACAGACTGGGTCAAAAAGGTGCAGCTTGGCCTTGATAAGATAAACAGAACGTATCTGGAGGACAAAATGACAACAACGATAAAACGTGTGCGAAACGCTTTCAGGACAAAAACATTTTACTCCTTCTAAAGCAGTGACACCATCGTGACAGGGAGTGTACCGATAGAAGTGTTTGCACGAGTTCTCAAATTCCAGCAGATCTTTAATGGCGTTGTTGCTCTGAGAAGCTGACGTCACGGTCCTTCTACTCTAAAACCTACAGTGTACTTGTAGCAGTCGTGCCTCGATCACATACAGGCTCGTCAGTGTGAGAACGCACCCAGCTGGACCGACGACTGAACCACTGTGTGTCGGCAAGGCCTGCCAACAAAGACAACCTTTCAGCGTTCAGTTTCTCCCGTTTCGCTCTTGCCTTTTTTTTTTTTTTTTTTTTTTTTTGCAGCTCTATATTCACAGACGCACAAGCTTGAGCACTGGCAAACGACACAGCTGTCTCTGGTGTCACGTGGACACGGTGGCTTTCACCTTTGTCCCAGCTGCAGGAAGGTGTGACCCAYATGCACAGCTACGGAAGAAAACCTGCAACTAAAAAAAAATGAGTAATTGTCGTGCACTGTTGTTAGGAAGCTGGCATTTACAATTTGTGTTACAAAAGGAGAACAAAGGGAGAGAGATTACACCCCCCCGTATCAGAGGTTTCAACAAAGTCACTTTACAAGCCTTCTGGTAGATCATCAACTTTTRTTCAACCAGACACAAAGCAATTATTGATTTTTTTTCCAAGTATGACCGAAACCATCAACTGCTTAAAAACTCATGAAAATGCTATTTTCATCATGAAATCGCATGTGCAAGACACACAGCCTCACATCTCGGACTATAAATCAGGCTAACACTTTAGGAGAACTTCCTCTTTCAATCTCACTCGTTCAGATAAACACTAAAAGGTCCTAACAGGAGTAAGATGGCACTGCGGCCGGTTCCAGATATAGCTGGACATTTGTGGTAAAAATACCCAACAGATGAGACGCTCTCAGGAAAAGGGGGGTGAGGCAGAGAGCTCGATTAAAGATTTCAGTAAAGTAGACCTGCAATTACGGTTGTTTGCCAACCTTTGCCATCCTTGTGGTGGGCAAAGCTGTAAGCGAATGTCGCTTCAAACATCAGGGCCTCTGTGGGAGGAAGAACTGTGAAGGATAATCGTCAGAGCAGCAGTGACGGTGATGAAAAAGACCACCAGGAGTACGAAAACTAGAATTACCAGGAATTTCAGCTAGGTCTTTCTTACATCAAGGTACTGTCGGTACAAACTGCACATGACTCAGTGGGAGYTCTACAAGTGACGACACTTGTAAATATGTAGAGAAGTGGATGTGGAGGAAGTTGTGCAACGAGAAAACAAACAGGTCTTGACATTTCATGTGGTTTCACCAGTTGTGTTAAAAAAAATCTTCACACTGACTCAAAACTTTTTAATTACCGAGTTGTCTTAAAACAAAAAAATAATAATAATTAATTAGGAAAGGTTTGTGTGAAACAAATTGATTTTATAACTGATAACTGAGAATTGTCTGGAATGAGAGATCAGTAAGATGCTCTTCCTTTTGAAAAAAAAATTTTTTAACAATATGACTAGTAATATATTAAAATTGTCAAGGATTTACTTCTACAGCACAGAAAGTATAAGCTTAACCAATCAAAGTAAGTCCACCCAAGAAAGGTGGAAAAAAAAACTTAAATCTCATTCAACCATGTTGTTTTAACTTTCTTCCTAAAAATTATTACAATAATAAATAAAGTAGAGGGTCGAATTTTAGCTTCTTCGCTGCTGAAACCAAAGCAGAGCATGGTTGTGCATCATCATGAAGCAAAGATGTGGGAAAAGTGGGGGTGGGAGATCAATGCTGTTCACTTCCTGTTTCTCTAATTCTAAGGTCAAACAGTTAGTTGCATGCTGAGCTTCTGCTGAATTAAAAAAAAAAAGCAATACATGTTTTAATGCCAACTAGAAATTCACAGTTACCTTCAGAAGATACATTGTCATACAAGTAGCAAACAGGATGTGCATCAGACTAGCGACAACTGTGCAGCTTCTATAGACGAGTACTTACCAATTTGATGGCCACATATTCATTAGTATAGAGATTTTTCCCCAGTCGCAGCTCTCCAAAGTTACCGCAGCCGATTTTTTTACCAACTCGGAAGTTTGGGCCAACCATAAGAACTCCAGAATTGGTCCCTGAACTCCTGCCCCCATGTCCAGTCCTGCTGCTTGCTGTCTTAGACATCTTTTTTCCTTCCTCTGTCTCTCCCTTGCCCCCTCTCTTGTCAAAATCCATAAGCTTGTGATACCCTGGCTTCTCCACGGTTATTCTCCAGCCATGCAAACCATAGAAACTCCGATATCAACAATGGAGGACGCGCTTTAGGGAGGGGGAGGGAGGCAAATCTCACAGGACAGAGGAAAGGTGTTGCTGCTAAAACGTGCAGAGGACACTTGAACGAGCCAACGGTGCAGATAAAATGTCCTGGGTGCCAAATGAACAGCTTTTCCCTTTTCTTCTTTGTATTTATTGTTTAGTAGAGGGGGCTTCGTTCTGATGGGCTTCTTGAATCCAGTCTCAGAGTGGCATGGCCCTGCCTGATGAAAACGGCAGGTGTCGCGAGGATGTTCCCACAGACGCACATAAAACACTTGTCACGAAAAAGCACTCCAAAACGCAGCTACTGCAGCCACGAGATCACTTGGGGACATCTTCTTGAGTGCCTCATTCCTTCCGGTCAGCCTTCATTCACACAATGAAAACTCTCCATGTTGCAGGGCCACGACAGGAGGCGGCGCGAAGCTGGCGAAACGGCCGAACAGGTTGCAGGTTGGTTGATGTCAACTGGTTATCTGAGAAAGAAAAACAACACAATGAAATTAGCTCACAGATTATGAGAGAGTCTTCTGCGAAGTCACAAACTAACTTGCAGATTAAAGCACATTTTTGCCTTTCTACGAAATTCAGTGAACCAATAAACGCTGTTTATCTATAGAAAAGAACGCAAGAGTATTAAATTTATTGTAAGCTGGTTAGTACACAAGTTTAACTTGGTATCTTTTATACAGTTTGTGAACAAATTATTAGTGTAAAACTATAACGCATTTGCATTCCTGTAAAAGAAAAACACTAGAAACATACATTCTCACAGAACGTTTTGGCAATGTATCAGCTGATATCAGCGATAAAACATAAATATACATTTAGAAAATAGACAACACTGACAATGCATTTTCCAGAAAATGTGACAAAATAGCAAAACCTTTTAATCTATGACTCAACGACCAAGATAAACAATGAACTGAGTCAATTGTGCACCTAAATATTCTTACAATGAAACAATTATAGAAGGCAAAATACTAGAGAAGCTTGATAAACTTGATTTATCCCCACGGCTCTTTAAGGTGAATGGAAGGTCCCCCACCACCACCACCACCAAATGAAAAACGCTAATTTAGACCTTTTACTTGAATATCAAATTATGCCAACTAGGACTGCTTCATACTACTGCTGAAATAAGATCTTGACACTTACTGGTGCAAAGCAAACTCAATAAAGCAATCAATAAAAGCAAATATATTCTACAGAAGACCTGAGACAGAGGAAAATGCTTATTGTTTGAACAATTAAATCCATTTAGTAAATGTAGATGTAGGAAGGTGTGTACCTCATAATGACCATTTTTGCACTGAAGACTAAAACATCTTGTAATGTGATATACTGAAGAGGTGTTTCAGTCTGAATTCGACTATATTTTGAGGTTCTCCAACAGAGAATTTAACAAAAAACTGCAAAATCCAGAACATCTAACCTTCGCTAGGCACAGGATGAGAGCAAAATAATTTATTTCTATATCTGTGCACATCAAAACTGCAATAGTGATCAAACTAAACCATAAATGATTGTAGAAAGAAAAGCAGGCAAAAGAACAAAATGAACTGTAATGTCAACTATCTCTTTTCAGATTTTTTTTAAACAAATGATTGCATATAGTCTCTTCTGAACAAAGCCACTCTCCAAACACCATTACATCCACAATCTAAGATGCTTCTGATGCAAAAGACAGCAGGTAATGCAGGCAATAGCTACTCTTCCTAGTGGAAAGGCACTTACACAGATCAATGACTGCTATAATGCCTCATCTCGAACAATCTGCATCACTGGAAAGCATATTATTGGATGTATTTAGATACACTAGAGTCTACAGATAACTGTGTTACATCTGACAGAAAAAAAATTACCTTAAGAGACATAAACACAAATATCCAACTTAACTTTGCAGAAGATGAGCAAACAACGCTATAGGTCTTGACAARAATCAGATATGATACACTGATTTTATTCTGTTCGGACCATTTATGTCAAGTCACAGAGTTTTATTACAATTACTGTAGCTACTGAGGCCTGAAATGTTTAAGGTGCCTCCTGAGTAAACAAAGCAGGCAATACAATCTATAGGAAATCTGCAAGTGTGAATGTCAAGCATCCATTTATTACTGCAGTGTGCACGCAGAAGAAAAGGAACTAATTCACAAGGCAGGAGTGCCATCAGTTATTACTCTGAGTCTGCCGTGTCTTTCTTGTTGTGTCACACAGGCTGATACTTACTGTAAGAAGGCAAATAAAATACCTGTTCAAGAGTGATAAGTAGAACAAAAAATAAATAAAACTGTCGTGATTAAAAAAAAGGTACAAGTTGAAAAAAAATGGAAGTGATAAACGATCAAGCTAACTGAATGAATAAAAGCGCATGATTTTAAGAAAAATATTGATTAAAAAGGTTTGATTTCATCCATCACTTAATAATAATAATAATAATAATAATAATAATAATAATAATAATAATAATAATAATAATAATAATGGCTGCTTGATATCAGGAAAACCTGCGAAGCACAAAACGGTGCTTAATATTGCGATGACAATACGACTGATAAATTAAATACTTAAGTATTAATTTTTCTGCTCTGGGTTCAGATCTTAAGAACAACTTATACATCCATTTCCATTCCAACATGACAGCTTTATTTTCAAAAATGTGAAACTAGACACAGCTGCTGTGTTAGCAGCGAAACGACAAACTATATGCAATACAGTTTCTTAATGACTTAAAAACATCATCCCCATAAAACTTTTTTCTGATCCTCTAAATACTGAATAACACCACCTAATTATTAGATTTGTGTTAAAAAATAATCTAAATCCACCTGCAAATTACATAACTGAATTGTCCAACATTTTATCCACTGACTAAGTGGTTATGGTTTGATGTGGTATCTCAGGTCCATTTTGTTTATCAGACCGATGCTGACAAAACACAAACGTAAAAACCATTTATTGCAGTTTACCAGTTTTTAGCAGTATGCCTATTGCACAGGCTGTTATTGCAATGACAATAAATTTGCTATATAYCATGCAGCCATAACTAAAATAATACTATTACTACAAATAATAATGTTTTGGTAAATGGTGTGATGCATTTACTGTCTAGTACCACAATGACTTGGTTTTCCTGATTCTTGTTTTACATTTCTTGACTCCTGATCATGTTTATAACAATATTTGTATTAAGGTAAAACTGAAGGCTCTAACCAGCATTCATGTAATTGCGCTTCGCAATTTGAGGTGCAACACATCTTGATTTTAGGTTGTTTCTGTTTCTAGACTTGCTTTGTTTTGGGGGGACAGATCTGGTTGGACCTAAAACACTGGCCTCAAAACATCTCAGATGATAATTTGGTCAAAACAATATGTTTGAAACTCTTAGGTTTTTAAGGCAACCCCAAAAAAAATAATGGACAAACCACTAATAAACAAATATTAAAATACTTTTAGTAATCAGCATCTGTGATGATATCTTTCAACTTTATAAGTCTAATCCCTTATGTTACTTTAGGAAGTTGTGTTCTTTTTATATCAGCTGTTAGATTTTATCAGTTTGTTTAAAACCTATTAAGTAAATAGTAATGTGTTTTTACATGTAATTAAGTGGCACTTAAATCTATTATACTAATATTTTATCAGTAAGCTCTCGTCAAACCGTGTTTTGTCAGCTTGCTATAACTGTAGACAAAGATAACAAAACTTATGAATCCTAACATCATATAAATGAGAGCCCAAACAAATAGAAAATAGCTAAGTAATACTTGAATAAACAGTCAATTCTAGACAAGATTACAAATTTCATTACGTTTCTGTGGCACAAAATTGAATAACAGCCTTATTAATAAGCCTGTGTTAGCTTTTAAGCTAACGCAGACTAACGAATAGTATCTTGCAGCTGCCATTTAATTTTGGATTATMCAAACACTCTCTCCATTTCTAAAAACAGCGCTCTCTCTTTTAAATTGACAAATATCTGCAAGAAATGAATTATGAACAAATGAGATCGATGACAATCAACGAAGAAATGAAACAAGCTAGCGTTAGCAGCGGACAAGGCCACAGCTGTTAGGCTATCGGGTTAGCTTGGGAAATTAGTTTCTGAAAACTAACCTCGTCGACATATAATATTTGCATCGATAACGCACAAATTTAGTAACGTAGTCGATTTTATTTTCACGCTTTACTAAAATGAAACTGTATAACAAATTAAGCTAACAGAGCTAGCATCAACAAACACCGTACCATTTTTCTTCGGCCCAAAGCCTGGTTTAAAAAAAAAAAACAGCTAACCTTTAGGTAATCAGTGTACAGCAGTGTGGACAAAAACACAAGCAACCTAACCGGTTGTGAACAAATGTAAAGTGAAGAAGTGGAAACAAGACAATGCATAAAATATTCATTGAATGACATAACCGATGCTAACAAGCTAGTTGGTGAATGCTTAATACCTGGAGAAAAAAACAGCGTACCGACGACGTCGTTATCAACATTACCGATTGGAGTAACGATAGATTAAGTTAGGTCGTTGATTTACCTGAAAATCTTCTGTTTTCGTTCAGATTCCAGCTACAGTCCTTACCCAGACCGCTGCCGGTGTTGTGTCGAAAAAAAGCACCTGTGTCGTGAAAAACACTCCCGTCACACAGGAAGCGCGTTTTAAGACGTTTCGTTTCAATAAGAAACTAAGAAAATAAAAAGTGACAAACTAGCCCTTGGTTTTCAGCACCCTGGGGAGTATAATTGCGAGGGGGAAAAAACTATTATACAGTTTAAAAGTGTTTTAATGGCCAACTACTTAAACAGGATATGCATCCTTTGCTATTTCTGCTCATGAAAGGATTACGGCCATGATTTTTTTTTTCACAAGATCAACAAATATCAATCCCTTAACTATACTTTATGCTTGAAGAAAACTAAAAAAAAAATAATCCAGGGAGGGCTACAAATCCTGATACTTTAGCTCGCCACAATAAGATAGAGGAGTATGGCCTACAAATTTCAAAATAAAACAACTGAGGACTACGGGTAATAAAATTAACAAGCCCGTTTGTCGTTATATTTCACTTAAAATATCATTTAATAAAACTGCCCTAAAAAGTACGTCCGACAACGGGATGATTTTTTCCCAACCGTGGTGCTATTTTTCGGCACAACACCAGGCGACTCTAATCCCTACAGCGGCACAGACTGGATCTACTAGCCCTTTAGCTAGCTAGCACAGGAAACACCAACGCTTATATGGAGATACGCTGTCAATAAATAAGACCATTCATAACGATAATTTAAGTTGTAAAAACACGGCACTTTACCTTAAAATGTCAACTATCAAAACGCAGTCCAAACCATGGCTCTTCGACCACCACTTTCTTTAACGCTTGGCTCCTCTCTTTAGCCTGAAGTTGCTACCATGGTCTCTTTAAGCCTCCTCCAACTGCGCAGCGTCGTGCCCATTCACTTAGCAGCAAGCTACGCAAGAAAACAGACGTAACTGGTTTGGTGAATATTATAAAACATCAGGCGAGCAGTAGCCCTCGGGAGTTGCTTTAAAACTGGTTGAGTTTCATTGACTGATGTTGACCTTAGTTACAGCTGAAACTGGGAAAGTACCGCGATATGTAAAAGATTTAAACCCTAGTTTATCACAAACCAAAGGTTTGACGTAGTTACGTTTTTAATTAACTTCATTACAAGTCAGGTTTCTTTATTAAGACTTAATATTATGAGTAAAAACATCAAAATGACTATATTTTACAAAGTATTAACAGAAAATGATTCTATAAATCATCTGCACAAATATATTGTTATATATAAATAATTAAAGTATTATTTTTGTTAGAAAAATACTGTATGTCCCACACTTATGAACTTAAAGCAAATGTTTATGTTGTTTCACACTGTTTTCACTGATAAACTATTTATTTAAATGCTTGATAAATTTGCTGCTGATACATGATACAGCAACTGTGGGTAAGGGATAAAAGAAAGAGTAGAAAAATACAGAAAAGAGGTGCAAATAATTTTATTTCATGCATCTAAGCTGCAGTTCTGAGGCACAATAAGGACATTTTCCCAAATGCTTTTGTCCTTTATGGTCTAAAACTATTTCTTACGTATGGAAATAACCAACAGGAACAAAAAATATTTAAATGTTCTGCTGACTGTGAATAATAATTAAAAAAATCTTATTTTCAGCAACTTTCACATTTACAAACAGTAAAAAAAAACAAGGTTCAGTTTTCCATCCCTTCAGACAAACAGATGTTCAGCTAAAACTCAATACGGTGTTTATTCTGTGGACGGACTGTTAGTATTTGTTTCTGCACATTGCTGATTCAGAGTGTATATAAAAAAGCTGACTTCTCCAGCTGAGTGTGTTTGATCGTGGTAGATTATAGCCCTATGTGAGGGTGAAACAGCACTTTACTTGAACTACAGTGTTTTGGATCCCCCCACGTGGAGCTGTGCTGCTGTATGATGGGCCAGAACAGTGGTGGGTGGCAGAGCTCATGATGAGGAGGTAGATAACGCTCCCCTGCCACGAAGGAACAAAGCGGAGGGGACTGAAGTTGGAGGGGCCACGGTGACAAGTCCGAGTCCGAGTCCTTGTTTCTGTCGTCCAAAGGAGCTGGAGGACAAAGAGGAGGAAGGATGTTGCTTTCAGAGCGCGATGTGGTGATGTCCTGCTTGTCTTCTGTCCTCACTTCCTCCTCCTGTGCCACTTTGCTGCTCTGTGAGGCTTCCTCCACGCTGACGTCTCCGGAGTTCTTCTGACCTTTACGGAACTTTGCTCTTCTGTTCTTGAACCAAACCTGGATAAAAAAGGAGCAGAACTCCTTTATAATCTCGGTGCTTTATGAAGGTTTAAAAATAAAAAAGGGGAATGTCTGCATGTAAACAGAGCAGTGTTACAAAAGCTAACAACACAGACTGCAGAGAAGAATCTGACGTTTCTTTAGAGTATATTTGGTCGCTTTCAAAGAGAGACAAAGAAGAGTTAAAGTTCAAAGAATTTTGTTTTAATAAACAGAGACCAACAAGTTTATTTTATTGAGTTCCCCTTTGATGTCACTTCCTGTTTCACTTTGGCTGAGCCAAATTCAAAAGAAAATAGTCAAGTCATGTGACAAAATGGATAAAATCATGTGTACTATGCCAATTTTCTTAAGTATAAAGATGCTTTCTTTGACTTTTTGTATTTGAAGGGTAGACACGTCACAGGCACTTTAAGGTGTAATATTCTTTGAAGGGCTGCAGATGTCATGTTCAGAGTATGAGGACGACTCTCAGCTATTTACACATCAAATTCTAGCTGAATATCTGTAAAACTGGCTGAGATATGGCTTTTTCTGGTGGTGGCCAACGCCTGTGAGCTGTGGTGGCCATCTTGAACTGACCCAGTTGTAGATAATCATTGTGAAAGTTTTGCTGAATTAATCCAGCAGTTTATGAGATGTTTTGCTGACASAGAGAGGCGACAGAGACTTGAGTAAAACCAGTCAGGTGATGGGTGGAGGGTGTWGTCACCTGAATGCGAGCCTCGGGCAGGTTGATGCACACGGCCAGCCTCTCCCTCATACTAACATCTGGATACTTGGTCTGCTGGAAGGCTTTTTCCAGAGCTCGCAGCTGTGGCACCGTGAACGCCGTGCGACTGCGCCGCTGCTTCGGCTGGCTGCCGTACCGGGCCTCCAGGATCAGCTCTGATAGGAAAGGACAATAAAAAGTTCAGTTTCACACAAACTCACTGAGGATCACCTCTGAAAGGTTTTTTTTTTTCTACAAATTATTCAGTGGTTTGTGATATATTTTGCTAACAAACATTGTTGATGCCAAATAATCAGTGTCAAAATTTTAGATAAAAAAGAAAGGGTTGGAGTGAATGATGCCCAAAGCTGCCACCACAGCAAATCTTAGCTCAATATCTGCTGCGCCATATTTTAGCAGAACATCATGAATCCACCACAGCTTGGTCTGATGTGAGGCCCCAGAACYAGACCCACCTGCCAGGCTCTCAGCCACAGAGAAGCTGCGCGCTGCCGCGGAGTAAAGGTGGTGCTGTGGCGCCCTCTGGTGGCGCAGGTCGAACAGCAGCGARTCCACAGCGTGGAGGGGGACCAGGGAGGGGGTCCCGCAGAAACTCAATGTGTTCAAGCTGGACCTGGTTMAACAAACACAACATTTAGCTTCATGTGTTCACAGTGAATACCTAAAACCCATTAAAGTTTTGATTTAAGGGCTTTTTGACACCTCTGGAAAAACTAATTTATCRATTTCAAACGTAGAACAACTAATTTGGATCAAATGGATCAATKTCTCGCTTGTTTTCTTTTACCAACCCAGCCACTGTAACAATTTTAAAAAACCTTAAAAATCCTCTTTCTTCAAATATAATATGTATAATTAACTATTTAAACTGATTTAAAACATAAAACAACACATGCGAATTTAACAAAGACAAATTTCTATGTAGTTTTCTTTGACCAAGTCAGTCTATATTTTATAACTCCCTAAAATCTCCATTTAGATTTATTTTGCTTTCAAATTTTCTAAATACCCTACTAACAGATCCAAATCCTGAGGTTTTAACTGATCATTTATTCAATTTCAAACAAAACAACTCATCTGCATTTGGATTTTGACAACAGGTGAATCAATATCAGGTTTGTTTTGTTCGACCAACTTTATATAAACACTCTTAAAAACCATTACAGTCTTTATTTAAAGGCTTTTGTCTCCAAACATTCAATGCAGCTAAATATTAGAGGTTTTAATTCAATTTTGGATCATTTTCATCCATTGATCAACCTGCATGTAAAATAAACAGACATAGGTTGTCTTTCACAAACTCGACACTAGCAAAATTCAAAAAAATTAAAAGTAAACTATAGTTTTGAAACATATTTAGGAGTAAAAATGAAATGCAGGGATATGAACTATTACAATAAAGAACGCAGCTATTAGTTCTATTATAAAGCAGATTACAAACACTTTGTAGATCTGATTGTTTTCACAATACAAGCATTTCAACGCAGCATTTCTTCTCATAAATGTGATTTCACACATTTGACCCAACAACTATATTAGACACCACTTTGTAATTCCTAAAACCCCATAAAGTTTTACCTGAGATCCAGGCTCTGAGTGAGATCCAGGTCCATCCCAGTGTTCCTCGGTCCAGTTTTGGGCCTAAAATCCTCACACAGACGGCTCTAAAAGTCTCTGAAACCATTCTCACCCTCCACTATTTAAGAAGCATTTACCCAGGCTCCCCTCAGCCTTTAGCCAATAGAAAGAAAGGTATTAGCTGGGATTAGGTGGGATGAGGGGCAGAGGAGGAGGAGGGGGGTCGCAAGGAGCTCAAGTTTTTTGAAACTATTGAACTTGAGAGTTTTCTGCCAAGGATCGCCCAATGAGCAAGGGTTTCAGTTAAAACAATTAAAACAATGGGGTGGGCTAATCTCCCAGGCAGGACAGATTAAAATATTGTCCTCTCCTTACTTCTTACTCTGGCTCCTTTCTCCTATCCTGCTGCTGCTGCTGACAGCCTCCCCCCTCACAGGGTGGGGTAGGGTGGGAGGCTCTGAGGGGTTTGTTTTGCTAACAGGCACCATATTTCGCTCATGAAGTGTCACAATGTGGAGTTAATCTGAACCCTTGCTCAATGAGAGCAATTTATTTCCATCCAGCTGAGCTAAATTAGGTCTTCTTCATCATCAAACCATCCTACATTTCCCATGGTGCACCGGGTTTAAAGTAATGATGGTTTCAGATTTAACCTCTGACTTTTATACAACTACATGATGAACATGAAGATTAATGTGTGAATAACTTCATTTCAGGTTCAAGTTACCTTGAGGTTCTGTCTGCTTTGTTTTTTTTTTTTTTTTTTTTAAGAAAAGTACATTTTTTTCTTTTCACAGCAAACAACAGATCCATTTAAATAGTCACTCACTGTTTTCTGTTGTGTTTTTCCCATTAAACTACTTCTGCTGACTCCGCTTTTTTAACCAATTAAGTATGAAAACCTTCAGCTCATTCAGGAGATGGGTGTTCTGACTTTTTTATTTGCAGCTTTTATATTTTTCACAATGTTTACCTTTAATTTAGAGTACTTTATTCATTGAAGAATAATAGGATCTCATAAAATCATTTAAAATATTGTTCTTGTTGAAATCTGCTTTGGCGTTGATTTTGTCTTTTTTATGCTACTTGTTAACTTTTAGCTACCATTTTGCTACCTTTAGCTTTTAGCTTGCATTTTCCTACATTTAGCTACATGTGGCTTTGGTCGCTGTATCTAGGCTGCCATACTTATAGATGCCATTTTGCTACTTTTGCTTTTTAATTGCCTTTTGCTACTTTTAGCAAACCTATCACTATTTTAGCTATCATTTTGCTACCTTTGCTTTTTAATTGCCTTTTGCTACTTTTAGCAACCCTGTCACTATTTTAGCTATCAGTTTGCTACTTTGAGCAAGCATTTTGCTTTTGTRCTGTTGTGCATATTTTAGTATTTTATGTTATTTATTTTTAGTTTTAACCTATCTTTTGTTGCCTCCAACAACCCTTGTGCTTCGTTTAGCTTTTAGCTATCTGTTTTTAGCTATCAGTTTGCTAATGTTTTTATCATTTTAGCCTTTTCCTACTTTTAGCTAGCTACTGTCCTGCTACATTTAGCTTTTAGTTAGTCCTTTGCTAATTTAGCTACCGTTTTGCCACTTTTGCTTCTCAATTAGACTTTTGCTACTTGTAGCAATGCTATTTTTATTTTAGCTATGGAGCTGGCCTGTTACTACGTTTAATTATCTAGCATGGTTTTTTTTAAAACATTTGCTGTGTTTTATATATTTTAGTTTTAAACCTTTAGGTAATCTATCACTATTTTAAATTTTTGCCAACCTTTTGTTGCATCTATGTAGCCTTGTGCTTTGTTTAGCTAGTATTTGGCTACTTTTAGCTTTTATTAGCATTTTGCTTCTTTTAGATTTTTTTAGTGCTGTGCTTTTCTTTTAGATTATAGATGTTATTCTGCTTTTGTTAAGCTCTTTGTATTCAGTTGCTGCAAAATTTCAGTTCTCAGCGTTCACACTGCAGTGTTGCAGACCCCCCCCCCCCACACACACACACACACACACATTGAATCAAATAAAAAATAAAAAATTCCACAAAGGTCCAAACATTGGTCTGTAAATATATCATTTTGTCTTTAAATCAAAGAGTAAATCAGTTTGTAAAATGTTTGCAACATTTCCTGTATCATCGTTACTCAGGAGTGTTAGATTGCTGAGAAACCAGTGGGGACATCCTTCCCACTAAATGCCACAGGCACATTCCTGCACCGAAATCAATCGAGAGTAAACAAGAAACTCTGAAGTTCCTGTTTAAAAATCGACAGATGAAGTTGCAGGACGTAACAGCTGTGCAACATGCACCTCCTCTGTGCACGTCCAATCAACCCCTCAAACGTCTAAAATTCGTGAAAATGTTTGTGATCTTTTTATTCGTCTTTCTCCTGGCCTTTTCCTCCTCCTTTCACCGTTCTTGGCTGTCAAGCTGTATTAGTGTCCGATAGGAATAAGTCATTTAGAAGAGGCTCTGTCGGCCAGCCCCTCAGCTCCACTAAAAGCTCCAGGATTAGGTCCCAGAGGCCTTTTGTCTCTGCAGCCCCCAGGATTAGGGGAGATTTACTGCGAGGAGAGAAAAAAAGTAGTTATTTCATGGCACTTTCATGATGAAACCTGGCCAAAGCTGTGTTGGCTGGCGGGGATTAGAGACATACAAAGAGTGTGCTTGTGTGTGACCCCCCCCCCCCCCCCCCCCCCCCCCACTTCTCCAGATAATTTACCCTCCTGCGGGCCAGCAGGGCTCGTCTGGGTTCACCTTCTACCCCACTGAGACAATCAGAGTTCAGTCAAAATCAGTCAATTAGCTTTTAAGACCTCCTGACTGCATCATCTTCCACCTTTATTTTACCTTATCAACATGTTTTGCGGGGGAGTAAATCCAAACCGTGCACCACTGCAGGAGTAATCACCATTATACCGTAAGTCCTCAGAAGGACAGAAGTGAATGGGAAGTTAGTGGATTTTAGTCCCTCCCGTAGTGTTTAAGAGCTCTAAGAAGGAGTTATCCTGCTCTTAGAGGATCCACTTACACATGCAGGGATTACAGTGAAGAAAAGACAAAAGGCCGAGTCAGGGAGCGCTGACAGCAGCCTCGCCGCTGAGCAGGAGTTAACGCAGGTTTACTTCCTGTTGTCACGCAGCAGACCTGGCTGCCCTGCAACATGCTGCTGTCCTTTTGCTGAAATACACCAAACCTACTCTAAAAACATCATCATCTGGATAGGAGCATAATGTTGTTCTAAAACCTGTTTATTTATGCTGCTGGCCCTATGTACCCCCATACCATCAGAGAGGCAGGCTTTTGAACTGGGCACTAATAGCAGCCTAGGTCAGGGGTCTGCAAACTTTACAATCAAAAAAGCCATTTCTGCTCCTCGGCTAACTAATAAAATGTGTCCAGAGCCTCAAAACAAGCTACAACTGTGATTATAAACTGGTGGTCTGTGGGCCTTTTTGAGGCCTTTTCGGGAATCTTCACGGCCAGTGGAGGTGACATTATAAAACTTAGAAATATATTGTGAACTTTATCATTTATTATTATTTTTACACATCAGGACAAATGGAAAGACCATATTCATGTAAACGAAAAATACCGTACATAGTTTATAATGAATTTCATAAAAACTAGTACAACTGAAC